TGTGTGTGTGTGTGTGTGTGTGTGTGTGTGTGTGTGTGTGTGTGTGTTGGCTGGGGGCGGGGGAATGATTACACACCTTGCGACAGGCTGCCACCTACTGGCCAACCACCTGAATAGCCATTACACGCAAAGGCACAGCTCAGTGAGTTCCCAAGCAGTCCAGGGGTCCTCCCCTCCAGGGCTGGATTGCTGAAGCAGGCTAGCTAAATCAGGCCCTCACCTCCCCAGAGCTGAGCAGAGTCTGCTGGTTTCTCCACGAAGGGAAAGAGCATCTCACACCTACTGTGCCTGTGTTCTGCAAAGCACAGGGCTCCTGGGAGTCTAACTGAGGGGAGCTGGCCTTCGGCTGTGCAGCTCTCATCGAGTAGACATCTAGAAGTGACAGGCACAGGTCCCTTATGTGGATGCTGGGACAGATGCCCAGTTCTGCGGGTGGAGCTGCTGTTCTAGGAATTCATCTGCAGGGCCACCTTGGCAAGCCACTAGGCTTTGTCAGACCATCAGTCACCCCCGCCCATCAGACTGGCTGGTGGTTAGCTTCCTCCATCAGTTTATCTACACAGCTTCTCCCATCAGGCTGTGTCTGGTGAGCCTGACCTGACACCCTGGCTTGCCGGCCTCTGCCGTCAGATTGTGATCGGTTGTCTCGTCATGCTGTGTCCCTAAATGTCCTTGTGGCTACTGAATTCAGGGTTTGTCACAGGACTTTCAATACATCCAAAGTCACTGAAGGAACTCTAAGATATTTTTCAAAAGCAGGAGATGGAAGAGAAAAGAGCCACAAGATAAAGCTTTGCCCCCACCAGGGCATTTCCTTGTCGTATTTATCCACGCCAGGCTGTGCATATGTGTCAGTCACCACTAGGGGTGTGACAGGCCCAGCCTGCCGGTCCCCTGCCTGCTACTTAGAGTGGACAACACTGGGCCTGCCCACTGGACTTGGGACAAGGTATCTTCTGCCCCAGGCCCCACCTGCCTTCCCAGGCCCAAATGCCCTTATTCTCAACTCACTACCAGCGTCCACCCTTGAAACCCAGGCTAACAGAGGCCATTTGCTGGGGCCTGTACAGACAGGCAGGGGTTCATTCTGCTCCATGATGCCTTCACTGAACATCTGCCACCTGCATTTCCTGTCTTCACCTAACAGACACTCTAGGAAACCCACAAGGAGCTACTAGGGCCAGGAGCTTTCACGCAGAGCTCCAAGTGGCATGGGAGAGCTGTAGCAATCACCTCTCATAGACAGGAGAAGGACCCCAAGGCTGGCATGGCAAGGCACTGGGTCACATGACTGGGCAGGGGGAAGTAGACAGCCAGGAGGGCCCCCTGGAGCAGGACAGCTTCCTGCAGAAGCTTGAAGACACAGTGCCCTTCTGGAAAAGGAACAGAAAAAAAGCCGCAGCAGCAGAAGGAGGCCCACAAAGGGCAGCTGAGGAGGCGGGAATGGGGTTAGCAAGCACCACAGGGAGCCAGGGGCCTGATGGCCTGGCCAGAGCTGGGATGTGGTGCTGGCTTGGCAGCCCACAGGGTCCCCACTAGTAGCTGGTGTGGCCAGCTCCCTGTCTCACCCCCCAGATGCTGTGGCAGCAGCTCCAGGGACCACAGACTTTCCCTGGGGAGCTTGACAACCTCGGAGACATTTCCATCCAGCCCAGCAAATTCTATCCTCAAGCCTCTGGTCTACTGCTTGGCAAGACTATCTCAGGCCTTGCCAGGGCCTTTCTGGAAAGTGGAGCCTTTCCAAAGGCCCACTGAGGACTATCCGGTCTCGGGGATATGAGGACATGAAGGAGATCCAGATGTATCCCCAAGTCACAGATCTGAGACTGAGCCTCGGAGAGGCAGAGCAACCTATCCAAGGTCACACAGCCCAGTGTGCACACACGACACAAGCTAGCTGGCTGGCCCGGATGGGCAGACGGTTTTATGAATGGGTGAACAGAAGACTCGGCAGCCTGGGCATGCTCGCACTCCTCACACCAGAGGGAAGACACCATCTGCCGCTGTTTCTGTCGTTGCTGATCCCAAAGTAAAGTCCCAGTACTGTCACATCAGGGTGGATGCAGAAGCTGGTCCTTATCGGAGTCCGACTCCTCACAGACAGACTTGGGGTCAGACAGAAAATGCCAAGTCTCCTCTGGCCACTAGGTCCTGAAATATCCGACCCATCTGACCTCCACACGGCCTCAGTGTCCCCATCCTACAGAGGCTAAGGACCTACCTTGCTCAGGAGTCAGAGGCTGCAGGGTGGGCGAGGGATAGGGTACCCGTAGCCTGTCTGCTCGTGACCTTGGCTGAGGCCTGCGCAGTCCAGAGAGGTCTGAAGTTGGGTCAGCGTTTTCACTGTGCTGGGTGCCCTGGTCATGGGGCTACCCAATGGCTTACATATTATGAAGAGTCCATGTGGCCAGAGGACAGCGAGCAGGAGGGCTGGGCAGAGGGCTCCTGGGCTGTGACTCAGCGGAACTTGGGGAGGCTGCAGGCAGCTTCGGTGGGAGCTGTCCATGGCAGTCTGTGCAGGGAAACCCAGCTGCCTGCTTCCTGATAAATATTTTATCACGCTGGTGGAGGAGGTCCCAGGCGAGTGACTATAGCCGTGGAGCCCATACTACACCCCTTCCTGTCCAGGCCTGAAGTGATGAGAGAGGTGGGTATCAGGAGGTGCAGCTGGACAGCTCCTTTAATTTCTGATCCAAGATGACTTCGGGGCATCTCAGTGCAGCTCAGCATACAACCTCACCATCGCACTACCCGGATACACCCTGCTGATGCTAGGCCTAGCCACGCCCCTCTCATAAAACCCCCTTCTTCACTCTACCCAGAATACCAGCTAGACTCTGCCTTTCTGACCTGCTGGCTCCGTGCTAGCCACCTCCTTCAGGAAGCCTTCCTGGATGTCCCTTCCTGTCATGTAATCCTGGGAAGGCCTATCTTGGCACCTGCCTCTACAGTGGGGGGACAAGATGAGGTTGCGGAATGCAGTGACTCTTGGACCTTTGTCCACACGGAGGTTCATTCAAGCTGGGAAACCACAAAATATCAAGTCAGGTGGGTTCAGAAAGCAAGACCTGGCCCCGTCTTGCAGGGACAACAACTTTTGTATGGAGAAAGCCTGTAACAACAACTCAGCCATGGCAACCACAGTGATAGCAACTACCATGCGGTCCTTTGCAGACTGCCAGACACCTCCCATCCCACCCCATCAAAGGCTCACTCCTTCCAAGGCCATCGAGATACAGTGTTCTAGGCCTCATTTAACAGATGCAGAGGACTGTCACAGTTCTGAGCCCCGAGAACCCCACAAAGGGCTATCTGCAGAAGAGGATGTGCATGGTGCTGGGTGTTGCATGGCTAAGAACTCACACATGGTAGGAACTGGGCATTGTCTAGAAACAGTGAAGAAGTTGGAGTGACATCCTATGAAAAAGCAGGACACCTATTTGGGCTGGGGACTCTAGACACGACCCCAGTCTAGAATCTATTGGGGGTGGGGGAAAGGCCAAAAATGAAAACAGAAGCTGGGCATGGTGATGTTCATCCTTACTCCTAGCACATGTGAGTCTGAGGCAGGGGAACTGCTGAGATGTTGAAGTCAGCCTGGCCTATATAACGAGTTCCCGGCCAGCCTGAGTTACAGAGTAAGACCCCGTTTTGAACCCAAACTCAGACTCTCAGAATAATGGCATAGGTCTGAGGGTATGGGTGCAGTGAGGCTGGAGTCTCCTTCCAGGTCTTGTACAGTTGGGCTGGTGTCATGGGGGACACGGGACTGGCCCATCTGAGGGTCTTCTCTCCTCTCAGTCTCAGGGCTGGCTGAAGAGGGGCAGGATGGACACAGCTATGAACAATAAGTGGAGGTGTCTCCCCTCTCTACAGGGGCCTTGCAGCCCCGCCCATGAAGCAAGATCAAAGCTATGCTCTCTCTTCTCCTGGCACAGTTGAGACCACGCACCAGGGGCTAGGACCACCACAATCCAAGTCCTAGACTAACAGTCAGAGGGGTGTGAGCCCTCTCCTATCTGGAATAATCAAGCAGAAGCCATATCTCCCGACCACAAAGTAGCCATGATAGCTGTCTTACAGCTGTGTGACCTGGGAGCTGGATAATGACCTCGCTGCCTTACCTTCATCTGGACAGTGGGGTCACCATCGTGCAACCTCACAGGGCCTACAGAGGGCAACACTGAGGCAGGTCTGTGTGCCTGTGATTTGCCTTGCTAGAGCATGCCTAAGGCCAAGAGTGGCTATGCTGGCTCTCAGTGTTGCAGGCTGCCCATCACACCTCTCTGCAGCTATACAGAGGAGAAAGCTTGTTTTATAGACGAGAAAGCTAAAGCACAGGCAGTAACTCCTCAGACTCAAAGAGGGTGTCCAGTATAGAGCCAGGTCTAGAACTTGGATTTAGAGTAGAGGAGAGCTGTCTTCTAGGCTGGGTGTTCTCTGTGTCTTCTTCCTGGACTGTCCCCTGGATGCAGGTTCATTCATTTTGCTTGACAAAACGCTTTTATAATTTAATGATGGCCTCCAACCAATCTAGTAGGCAAACTTTGAGAACCTTTTAGAAAAATGCCTATGACTCATGCTGGGATCCAAGGAGCCCACAAGGTGGCCCGATGACAGCAAGGCTTCATGTCCTTATCTTTAAGCATATCAGAATAGCAAGTGTCACATGGCTGGCTGCAGAGATCTGGGTCTAAGCCCCGGCCCTTCTCCTTGCTGGCCCTGGGCCTCAGTTTGCCCATCTGCGAACTGGGCAGAGTCACAACAACCTCACGGACTGTTGGGAGAGTAGACAGAGGCCAGGGAAGCTCCCACGGGGTCTACCTCAGAGCAGATGATCAAAACACAGGGACACCTGTTCATTTCAGGGTGAGTCAAGCTTTGGGGCAGAACCAAATGGGACAAAGCCTCTGTATGCCTGCCGGACAATCGTCTAAAAAGGGGCCTCCCCAATGCCTCACTGTGAAGTTGGAGAGTTTCATCTCTGTGAGCCACCACTTGTCTTTTAAAAGAGGAGCCACAGACCCTCAGCCTCTCAGACTCCCTTGCAGCTACAGGGTATAGTTAGGTGACGTGATATCTGGACACACCAGCGTACTTTAGATTAGAAACCAGTGCTATAAAGAACTGAGGACTTTACTGATATCCAGCATGGCTGCAGCCACCGTCCAGGGAACAGAGACAGGGACTGGTATCCGGACAAGTCCTAGACTAACAATCACAGGGAAGAGAGCTCCCTCACACCTGGTATAATCAAGCTGAAGCCATGTCTTTCCACCAAGAAGTAGCCATGATGGATGGCTTTTGGCTCACCTGAGTCAGACCCAGACTTATAGTAGGTTCAGGGCAGTGAAGCTCCTCTGGGGTGGGGAAGGTTCCTTGTACCTATACTGCATGGATATGTGCTCCTTTCTCACCTACATCAACCTCAGCACCGATATCAAGACCCACAACGACACTACGACTCGGGCTTGGATGACTTCCCTAGAGTTCACGACAGAGACCCCCTCCTACCTTGCCGGCAGAGAACACTCCTGGCTGGGACTACCCTTTAGTTCTCATGATGAATGTAAGGCATGAGGTGGCCATTAAGGCCTCGGGGCTAGTGAAGGTGTGCAGACTAGATCCTGACAGTCGGGTCAGAGCCTCCACTTAGTCCAAAAGCCATCTATTCTGCTCTCACTCTGCAGGAGAGGACCACAGCTCATGGAAGGGGGGGAGGTCAGGCAGTTTCCTGGGGCAGGTGACCCCATCCCCCCCCACCCCTTTGGAGACAAGGTCAGGGTCTCCAACTCACTATGGAGCTGAAGATGACCTTAGCGTTCTGATCATTCTCCCCCACCCCCACCCCCTAGTGCTGGGGTAACAAGTATGCACCATCATGGCTGATTTCTGTGGTGCGGGGCATCGAATCCAGGGCCTTGTGAATGCTAGGCAAGCACTCTACTAATTGAGCCCCAGCCAAGCCGAGATGCTGTCTCTTAGAAAGTCCCGCATCCAGATCCAGTTTTGAGACACGAAAGAGGGATGCGGTTAATAGAGAGGAGTATCATTTTGTCATTACAGAGCCACCTCCTCATTCCAGACAAACTTTGACTTCCCATCTCCGCCTCTGAACGGGGAGTGACGGGTCCCTGTGGCCACCCTGAGCTTCAGGGCAGGATTCCCTGACTCTGCTGCGTAACCCAGGGGACTAGGGTTAGTCTCCTCTGAATCTCCAGCTCTGCATCCTCTTGTCAAGTTTGCCTCGCTTCCTCTAGAGGTCTCAGCCCCATCCCCCATCCCTCCAGCCACCTGCAGGGTTGGGGAAGGTCTTTAAGAACCGATCACTTTCCTAATGGAGGTCTCATGGGTATTCTGAAATGTGGGGTGTCTAGAGGGGACCTGGGGTTGACTCTCTGACTGGGTGGGGCGTTGTCTAGGTGGCTCTACTGTCACCCCTGCTTTACTCACAGTGGCTGGCATCACACTGAGCACCTGCTCTGCCTCCCCAAGCATTTCCGGTCAGGCCAGCCCTAGCCTTTCAAGCTACCCATTAGAAACAAAAGCCATTCGCCAGCTAGCATTTGCACAAACACTTTCCCTGTGGCTGAGGAGATGCAACTGTCCCTAGTACTCTCCATTAACACAGTTATCCCGAAAACAAGCACCACCCACCCGGTGGCTGGTACCCCCACCTTCTAGGCCCATCAGTGGATCCTCTCCTAAGGGACCCAGTGTGGGTAGAAACACTCCTAGTTTTCAGATGGAGACACTGAGGATCAGAGAAGCAAAGTGACTTGCCTAGAGCCACACACTCACTCGGCAGTGGGCCTCAGAGTTTGCTCAGTTTCACCTGGTTTCATAGCAACCTGTGCCCCACAATCCAACAAAGACAGTGGATACTAGAACTAGCGGCGGGAGCACTCAGGAGGTCATAACCCCTGACCAGGGGACTTAAGTTCACAGAGAGCAATGGCCGGCTCAGGGACACAGCCAAGCCTTGGCCACTAACAGGGACCCTTCTTGAGACTGAACCATTGTCAACGGACCCTTCTTGAGACTGTCAACGAGGCTCACACCTCAGTGTGCACCTGACCGGGGTTGAGGTGATTGTGTGGTAAACGCAGATTCCTAGGGCCCAGCAACATCCCAGGATAACCCAGGAGGTTGCAGTCTGTGAATCAAGCATCCTCAGAGAGGACCGGGGATGGCCAGAGACCTGACTGAAAGATCCCCTAGCCTATCCTAGGAGGGCCACAGGGAGATGCTGGCCTCTCTGGATGCAGTCCAGGGAACAGGCCCAGGCCTTTGGGATCATGGACACAGAGGCAGGTGCAGGCTTGCTCCTAGCCAAGCATATCTCTAATCGCCTAACTTCGAGATCAAGCTACAGTCTCCACAGTCCCTTATAGTGTCGCTCCTACCCATGCCAGACAGCGATCTGGAAGCTCAGGGGGCAGGATGGAGTCGGTTTCCTGGGGCTTGCAGGCCAGGGACTCTCTCACAGCCCTGCCCTTCTTGTTCACCCTGGCTCTGGCAA